TTGTACATAAATATGTAAAAGTGTATTTGTATGAAATAATGTACAAATGCACACATACATGTATGTACATGCCCTCCTCACACATGAAAGACTTAATAGACTCACCAGCTATTTACAAACACTGGATTTATTCCCAGCAGCATCCACCTGAATTAGGTCTATTAACCCACATCACCATCAGAAATAAGGAAACAGAGGATTCTAGTTTATGGCATTTTTAACAATTATGTAACAATATTTTAAAACTTTTGTGCACTTTCTTGACCTATATATAAGTGGACTGAAGGAGTATCCACTCTTAATTTTTGTACAATTCTTTGAATCCAGAAAATTTTGCATTTTAAATCTGTTTTGTTTATTTTGTGTCATGGTATTTAAAGAAATTGTTTAAAATTAAAAAACTGTTATAACTAATCAATGAATGATGCAGTTCATAAAGTCAATATATAAAAATTGATTGTATCTCTATACACTAATAACAAATAATGAGAAAGAAAAATCAAGAAAACGATCCCATTTACCACTGCAACAACTAGCATAAAATACCTAAAAATAAATTTAACTAAGGACACAAAAGGACACAAAAATTGTACACTGAAAACTCTTAGATATTGATGGAAAAAACTGAAGCTGACACAAATAAATAGAAAGATACAACATGCTCATTGATTGGAAGAATTAATATATTAAAATGTCCATACTACCTAAAGCAATCTGTGGATTCAGTGCAATCCTTATCAAAATTTCAATGACATTTTTTACATAAATAGAACAAAAACTCCCACAATGTTTATGGAATCACAAAGACACTGAAGAGCCAAAAGCAATCATAGAAAGAAGAGAAAAGCTAGAGGCACCATACCCCTTGATTTTGCAGTATATTATAAAACTATGGTAATCAAAAGAGTATGATAATGGCATAAAAAGACACAAATCAAGGGAACAATAGAAAACCCAGAAATAAACCCACAGATATGTAGCTATTTAGTTTACAACAAAAGAGACAAGAATATACAACAAGGAAAGAATAGTCTCTTCAATAAATGGTACTGAGTAAACTGGACAACCATATGCAAAAGAATGAAACAGGACCACTATCTTATACCAGACACAAATTTAACTCAAAATGGATTAAAGACTTGAATGTAGGACCTGAAGCCATAAAAGGCTGGAAGAATGATATTGGTCTTGGCAATGAGTTTTAGAATATCCCACCAAAAGCAAGGGAACAAAAGCAAAAATAAACAGGTCTACATCAAACTAAAGACTTCCACACACCAAAGGAAACCATCAACAAAATGGAAAGTCAACTTCCTAAATGGCAGAGAATATTTACAAATCACATATCTGATAAGTGGTAAATATTCCAAAGAACTTATATAAAGAACTCATACAACTCAATAGCAACAAAACAAACAAACAAACAATCTGACTAAACAATGGGCAGAGGATCTGAATAGACATTTTGCTAAAGAAGACATACAGATGGCCAACAGGTACATGAAAAGATTCCCAACATCACTACTAATCAGGGAAATGCAAATTAGAACCACAATTAGATATCACCTCGCTCCTCTTGAAATGGTCAGTATCAAAAAGAAAAGTAAGAGCAAGTGCTGGTGGGATGTGGAGAAAACTGAATCCTGTGCTTTGTTGGTGAAAATGGAGATTGCAGCCACTGTGGAAACAGTGTAGAAGTTTCTTGAAACGTTAAATATAGAACTACCATATGATGCATCAATTCCACTTGTGAGCATTTATCTGAAGAAAACAATAACCCATGTTCAAAAAGATATATGCACACTGTTAGGGTCCGTAATCAAAGGACCAAGACTGATACAAAGCAAAGGTCAAGCAAAGCTTTATTTCGTGCCAAGCATTGAGAATCAAACTGGTCAGGGCTTTCTCTTGAAAAGAGGTGACCCCTCCTAGCCTCACAGACTAAGTTTTATAGAGGTAGTTTAGCTGGGCTATACACAGGTGGCCAATGAGATTGCAATACACAGAGAAAACTGCATAGTCATGCTAGGTCTGCCACACACAGAAAAAAAACAAAAAAAAAAAAAACAAAAAAAACTGCTAGGTAACACATGGGTGGCCAATTGAATTTCAATTTACCCTAGTAGATATATGTGCGCCCCACTGATTGGATGTCTTCACCTGGCCTGACCCGCCCTTGTATCTAGGCTTTGCAAGTAAGTTCTTCTGGGAGGGGCGGGGTCAATCTAAGTTCACTGTATAAACACAAAACGACTCCCTCTGGCTAAACAGGCCCTTACACACACCTCCATATCATGGCAGCATAATTATAATAGCCCAAACATGGGAATGACCTAGATGTTCATCAGTGGATGAATGGATAAAGTAAGTGTGCTGTACTAGGTGATGTATGGAAGTATTGAATCACTATGTTGTACACCTGAAAGTAATGTAACACTGTATTTTAATTATACTGGAATTAAAATAAAACATAAAAGAAATTGTACTCTCTCTCTCTCTCTCTCTGTATATATCTATACATAGATAGATAGATAGATATAGATATATATACATAATTTATAAAATATATGTAATGGTATATAATTTACCCATTCAAATGAATGAAATCTTGGCATTTGTGACAGCATGGATGGACCCTGAGATCATAATGCTCTATGAAATAAGTCAGACAGAGGAAGATAAGTACTATGATTTCACTTACATGTGGAATCTTAAAAACAAGACAAAAACCAAACCAAGCTTGTGAGTATGTAGAGCAGATTGGCACTAGACAGAGCTAGAGGGTGGGGAGTGGGTGAAATGGGCAAAAGTGTCAAAAGCTTCAAATTTCCAGTTATAAAATGAGTAAGTCATAGGGATGTCATGTCCAGCACTGTGACTGTAGCCAACAAAACAGTATTGTAGATTTGAAAGTAGCTAGGAGAGGGAATACTGACCATTGTCATCAGGAAAAAAGTTCATAACTGTATATTGTGATGGAACTTACTCTGATCACTTCACAATATATACAAATATTGAAACATTCCTTTGTATACCTGAAATTAATGCAATGTGATGTCAGTTATATGTTAACAACATCAATAACAATAATAATAGTGACAAAGGACAGTTCATTCATAATATCAGCTCAAGGCTAAGTCACAAGTACTGTAGGCCCAGGTGAGTGTCACAGGCATTCTTAGCCAATACCATCACTATCTACAGGCTGAGGCTTAAAGGGGATGAAGATATAGTCTACGTGATCAGAATCACGTGATCAGCAGTTAAGGAATAAAAAAGAATGACAAAAGACTCAACATGAAAACTGTGATTTTGTGTTTTCCTCTATGATGAAATTATATAAATGTCTTTAGATGCCAAGTGTAGTTTTATCTATATGAATAAGAGAACTCATGATTATTTCTTTGGGAAGACATAGGGAAATTTTACTTGGCATGATATATGTCATTTGAAAAGAAATCATTTTTGAGGTATCAAAGTGGTCCTGTAAATGATACAGAAGTTTTTAAATATTTCTGAATCAGGGTTGGGAAGAACTGTGGGAATGTGTGAAAATGGACAAAGGGAAAAACTGTATGTATATTGTACAATGCAGAAATATTAGTAAGCAGAGTTTTCTGAAATTGTATAGAGAAACTGATTTTTTTTATTTTATTTTATTTAAATTCAATTTAGTTAACATATAATGTATTATTGGTTTCAGAGGTAGAGGTCATAGATTCATCAGTTGCATATAACACCCAGTGCTCATTATATCACATACCCTCCTTAATGCCCATCACCCTGTTACCCCATCTCCCCACCCACCTCCGGTCCAGCAACTGTCAGTGTTTCCTATAGTTAAGAGTCTCTCATGTATTGTCTCCCTCTCTGATTTCATCTTATTTTATTTTCTCTCCCTTCCTCTATGATCCTCTGTTTTGTTTCTTAAATTCTACATATGAGTAAAATCATATGATAATGGTCTTTAGTGAAGTTGAATTGCAAGAAATGGAAATTTCTGGAAATACATAGGAATTGATTATATTTCATAGTGATCAAAAAATCATGTTTTACATGAAAGATTTATAGCAACCGTGTTTTGGTTTTGAACAGGAAAGGAGGGCACCTGGGTAGCTCAGTTAGTTAAGCACTTGTCTTTGGCTCAGGTCATGCTCCTAGGGTCCTGGGGTTGAGCTTGCATCAGGGTCTTTCCTCAGCAGGGAGTCTGTTTCTCCCTCTCCCTCTGCCTCTGTCCCCCTACTCTTGTGCTCTCTCTCTCAAATAAATGAATAAATTCTTTAAAAAAAGAAAAGGGAAGAAGAGCTTTATTATTATTATGAAAACCTAACAGAGACAGGAGAGGAAAGGAATCTACACCTAGATGAAGGTAATAGTAGGCAATAAAAGAGAATAAAGCAATGTTACATTAAACCCAGTATTTATAAATACAACCTCATCAGCTGGGCAAGGCCCTGGAAATAGCCAAGTTGGAGTCCTGACAGAGGCTTGGACAGAGCCCAGGTGAGACTTTCAACTGACCATCCTCATAAAGGCCACATTCATAGGGCAAATAATAGGGTTTGAAATTAAACATCTGCGTTGTCCACATGCTGTTTGGAACAAGCTGCATTTCCATATTACCATGTTTCCATATTTTCAAAGAGCCTGGGCTATGTATGTCTGCCTTCCACCTTGGATTGCATTTTTGGGGGTCAGCCCAGTCTGGAGGAGGAGGGGGCAAGAGACAAGGTTTGTAGCTCTTGGTGTCCAAACTGGAAGGTTCAGTTCTGACCTGGAAGCCAGATAGTATACTTTAAACAACTGGGCTCCAAAGGTTATTCCCACAGCAGAAATCTCACAAACAACATTCCTTAGCCTGCCTGTGTACATGCAGATCCAGGGGGTCTGTTATGTGGGACAAGACACAAACACATTTATTCATACAGAACACATAGCTTTGAGCCCTGCAATCAAGGGCACTTCTTCACCACTAGGACAATTGTGCCTTTTATAGTTGCTCACTTAAAGAATCTTATCAGAGCCCCTTTTATGTTCTTGTTCCTCAGGCTGTAGATGAAGGGGTTCAGCATGGGTGTGACCACGGTGTACATTACCGAGGCTACTGCACTTGAGTGGGAGCTCTGGGTAGCTGCAGAGCTAAGGTACACTCCCAGGACTGTGCAATAAAATAAGGAGACAACTGAAAGGTGAGATGCACAGGTAGAAAATACTTTATATTTTCCCTGAGCTGATGAGATTCTATATATGGAGGAAATAATCTTAGAGTAGGAGTAAAGGATCCCAGCAAGGGGACCACCAGCCAGCAGCACAGTTGAAACATATAGCACTGTGTCATTGATAAAGGTATCAGAACAGGCAAATTGTATCATCTGATGGAGTTCACAAAAAAAGTGGGGGATTTCCACTTCTGAACAGAAGGACAGCCACAACACCATTAAGCTTTGTAGCAAGGAATTCAGGACACTCATGATCCAGGACATCAGAACCAGCAGTCCACAGAGGTGGGGGTTCATGATGACTGTGTAGTGCAGGGGGTGACAGATGGCCACGAACCTGTCATAGGCCATCACAGCCAGGAGAAAGTCATCACAACCTGCAAAGAGTGTGGAAAAACAGATCTGGCTGATGCATTCTGTATAGGTTATAACTTTGCTCTGTGTCTGTATATTCACCAGCATCTTTGGGATGATGGTAGAAATGACACAGATGTCTAGAAAGGACAGGTTGACCAGGAAGAAGTACATGGGGGTGTGAAGGTGGGAGTCAGAGCTGACAGCAAGTATGATGAGCAGGTTTCCAAATACAGTGATCAGGTACATGGAGAGGAAAAGCCCAAATATTAGGGGCTGCAGTTCTGGATCATTTGATAATCCCAGAAGAAGAAATCCTGAAATTTGGGTATCATTGCCTGGTTCCATGTGGTTGTTGTGATGATTAGAAATTAGGAAAAAATGATTAATTTTAATACAAGTGGGTATTCATAACATGGCAGAAATGCTATAATTACAATGACTTGTGGGGGAGAAAAGCAGACATAAAAGAAAGTGGATGGGGTGTTATCTTTCCTGGGAGCTCTGAAAGACCTAAAAGAAGGTGAACTTTGAAGAGGGACTTCAGGCAAGACTGCACAGGAGACATGAGGTTATCTGGCGACATGTGTGTCCTGCAGGAGAGACAGTGCAAAGGCCCTGAGGAAGGCACCAGATATCCAGGACTTACAATGGAACCAGTGTGGTCAGGAGAACAGCAAGAAGGAGTGTGATGAGAGGGGTTTCAGGGAAGGTTGAGGAATGACATAGCCTCTCCAGTGCAGATGAGACACAGGGAGTTCTTCATCCATATGGTTGTTCCTTGCATTTCATTAATTTGTTTCCAAGGAATCCTGTCAACAGAAATTTCCTTATTTCCAAGTATTTGTTAACATCCTGGAGTCTGTATTTTAAGGGTCCCATATTGGCACACAACAGACTCCTGGGCCATGTGCCTACCAGGTTCTTCTCACCCTCGAGCTGCAATATTTAGAAAAGAAACAATACTAGTTAAGCTCTCAACATCATTTCCCTAACAAATATAGAAAAGTACACAAATCCCCATTGATAAGACTTCCATGAACATATAACTCCGTGCTCCATTTTAATATGGCCATTTTGTCTTATATTTATAGACATATAAAAAACTCAAAAGGAAGAGAAAAGGAAGAGGGGGGAGAAAGTTCTTTTAAGTCCATTGGTCCCTGAGAGTTTGTGATGACAAGAAAGCTTCTGTGGTTCTGGCTGCAGTCCGACCCTAAATATATCTGTTCAATGCCCAGAAGACCTAATACAGCAGCAAAAACCAATTTCTCCAAAAGAAAAAAAAAAGAGTGATATATTTATGATATCAAGACACCTTAATGTATGAAAATCTGCTAGAAATATGAGTGAAAGGACTATATCCACAATTGGTGAAAGGAAATACATGATTTATAAAAATAGCAAGGGTTTATAAAGATGAAATGGTAAAAGACTTCTTTATATGATATTAAGTGTAAAATTTTGGAATCAGTGTTTGAGTTTTGAACCTCGGATCTACCACACATGAGCTGTCTGAATTTGAGAAGACAATCAATTAGTTTTAAAATGTTAATTTTCTCACTGGAATGGTGGGGGTAGTGGTATCCGTCCTCCTAAGGTGGTTGACAGATTGAGTCCATATATGTAAAAACTTGAAGATAGTTCCTTCCTGTTCGTATACAAAGGGCTATTCTCTTTGTTCAGCCATGTTTGTATGTGTGTGTACATGCATGTGGACTTGTGTGTTTGCATGTGCACATATGTTTGATCATAATGTAAAAGGCATGTTTATTGTGGACAGAAAAAAAAAATGGAATCCACAGCAGCAAAGGAAGGAAGAAAATGGTTTAATATAAGGCCAGTGGCTGCTAATGTGGGTAAAACAGTATGAATGAGGAGTTTATCAAAACATCAGATTGAAGAGGAAAAAGCAGCCCATGTGGGTGCTGATGTGATATCAGACTTCAGGGAGACCCTGCTTACTGATCCACTGGCTTCATCATTGTGTCCACCTCAGGCCCTTGATCTAGTTGCCTCCTGTCACCATGCCCACTATGCCATATTTGTTTGACCACACTTATTTTTATGTGGTTCGAGAGTGGATGAAACTGGCTCTTCCCTTTCCTTTCCTTGGTGGTATTCACTCTTTTGTTACCTTGATCTCTGTTTGACACAAAATCCAATGGGGACATGCCTGTCCTTGTTCTCTGTTCCTTGTCTGCCATGTGGAAAACTTCCCAGACCATACTCAGTAAAATTTTTGCATGTTCCATGACAAACTATCCCTTTTCTGTATATTATTTATTCTTGAAACCCCTATGTCATATGAGCTTTTAGTTCCCTGTTCTCTATTATTATAATACATATATAATATATTATATATTATATAATAAGGAGCAAGGGCTTACCCTGCTTTGTTTGACTCTTTGTGTTCACAAAGGTGCACATTTGTATAGAAACAAATTTTTAAGAAAATGAAAATTCATTAAATAGAAGGAATGGTAGGGAAAATAAGCTAATGTTAGATATGGTGGATTCAAATAACTGTCTTCAACAAAATTGAACAATAATCTAATACTAACATCAAAGAGAAAGGCTATATAATAGCAAAAATCACATCAACATAGGTCTCTAAATCAAGATGAAATGGCTAAAAGTGTGGAAATAAAAGAATAGGAAAATATATTTTTAATACACAGTGCTAGAAGTAATAGCTCAAGTTATAATTTGATCATTCATGACCATATTGGACTTGATAATGCTTATGAAAAAGATGCAGGTTTTGGAGGAGAGGGAAGTGAGGGGTTGGGTGAGCCTGGTGGTGGGTATTATGGAGGGCACATATTGCATGGAACACTGGATGCAGTGTTCATGGAACACTGGTGCATAAACAATGAATTTTAGAACATTGAAAAGAAATAAAATGAAAAAAATACAAAATGTATAAAAATTTAAAAAAAAAGAATAAAAAAGATGCAGGGATCTTTCATTGAGTACAAAAAAAAAAAAAAACATGTTTCACATCATGACAGGAGGTGATTTAAAAAAAAAATAAATCTACCAAAATAAAAAATTTTAGGAAAAAAGGAAATAAGGAAAATTAAATTGAAATAAGATGACAATATGTATAGAAGCAATTCTTACTACTAAGGATGCAGAAGAATTTCAATATTTAAAAAGCAATGTGGGGAACGGTATATGACCAAATAATAGATGGGAACTCACAAAATATGTAAGCTCTCACTTGATCCCATAAATACATCTATACACAATACAAGGATTAAGTGGCAAACAGCAAAGTTGGTGAAAAAAATGTTATTCTTTTTTGAAAGAATGGGATCAAAAGACAATAAGAACACACAAATCCGAGTACATAAAAGAAATGTACTTGCAAAAACAATTTGCATATAGGACATAAATGGCCAACAAAGTTCAAAATATATTCAGCCTCCTTGGTAATACAATAGTTGCAAAGTAATGTTCCTTGGTATTTCCCTTCATGCATTTTAGGTAAACTTATTCCAGTGATTATCAATGAAAGAGACAAAACTGTGAGGTGTATGTTTTAAAAATTGTCATCACAAGCTGTTATTTACCTCCATGATCCCGGATCCTTTTAATGAATACAGGACAAGCTAAATGTACCCCATCTGAAAATTTTGAAAAATACTTACACCGGGGTGCCTGGGTGGCTCAGTTTGTTGAGAAGCTGCCTTTGGCTCAGGTCATGATCTCTGGGTCTTGAGGGTCTTAGAATCAAACCCCACATTGAGCTTTCTGTTCACTGGGGAGTCTACCTCTCTCTCTCTCTCTCTCTCTCTCTCTCTCTCTGCCTCTCCCTACTGCTCGTTCTCTCCCTCTCAAATAAATAAATCTTTTTTTTAAATGCTAACACCTCCAAGTCTAACACTGTTTTCCTACTCTCCTTAGCTGCAAAACTCCATGAACATGTTCTAATTTCACTGGAACCATTTATGGCCCCCGTCCTTCCTTAGTCTCATCCAGCTGGACTTCCATTCCCACCATGTATTGTCAGCAATGATCCCTATAATGCTGAGTCCAATGAAAACTGCTATTTAAAATATATTAAGAAAATTATTTTTAAACTGAGTAGTCAACTCAGCAAACAAACATGCAAACTCTTGGCTCTAGATAGGCTGGTTGGGCTCTCAGATGACCTCCAGTGAATATTCTCAGGTTCCATTCTCTCTGATCCTTTCCTGAAATACCTGCTGAGCTCTCAGACTCTCCCAAGTGGGGCTTATAAGATGAAAGTCTCCCAATGTAGGTCTGAATTCATCTCTGGATGGTTGATGGTGGGGACTGAAGCCCTGTTCCCAGACAGGACAGCAGGAAGGAGGGAAGCATGGGTCCCCCACCTAAGCTTAGGAACCCAAAGGCAACAAATATGTCCTTTCCCTCACAAGTATGCAACATGGTAAGGGACTACAGCAACAGAGATATTTATAGCTCCCTGTTTCTGCTCATTAGGCACTGCTTCCATTGTTACTCCCACCTCTGAGAGTATTATTTCCCTATGGACCACACGTCTGGACAGAAAAGAGAATTTTTTTTTCCTACTGATGTGCTTCCAGGAGACCAGATTAGAAGTTAGGTGAATCTAATTTTTCTTACTTCTTCTCCATGATCTTGCCTGCCTTCCAAAGTTCTAACATCCTTGTATCTTATCCCAATTTTGAGTTAATGTTTTCTCCAAATCTAAGACTGAGGAACCTGCTTAACCATGTCTCATGGACCACCAAAGTACTATTTTATGGCAGAAAAGATCTGATATATCTAGAAAATTGTTATTCCCTACATCAATAAGAGAGAGAGGTAACTTAATTTGTTATAAGTATATATGTACTATGCTCTCATCTTGATGCTTTTGGCTAACCAATTAGGTGATTCATGGCAATAACACAAATTCAGAGCAGTCATTTATTGCTTCATTTTGAAAAGTTCATTAATTATGAGATATTTAGATCATTTTATGCACATGCAGAGTGAGAATCCAATGTGGATTTTTTTATTTCGTTTTTACAAAATTCCACTCTGTAAGGTTTGTACTATAATGAACCTTAATCTACAATTGTAAAAGTGGGGCTCAGAAGTATGAAATGAGGTTTCCCGAGTTAAGAGCTGAGGAAGGGATGAGCTCTATCTGGAACTCCACCAGATATTTCTATTTCTTATGATCTAGGTCAGTGGTTCTCAATCAGGGGCCATTTTGCCTCCAGAAAAAACTTGACAATTATGAAGGAATCCCTAATTGTCATAAATAGGGAGGAGCTACCGGCACCTAGTGGGTTGAGGCCAGGGATATTACCCCATATCCTACAATGCACAGGATGACCATCCTCACA